TATACAAATTCTGATTGTTGCTGACATGGAACTGTTTAATAATTGTGATGCTAATTTAACATGCATTTTTTGAAAAGAATTTGGGTAAATATGTACAATGTACATATTTTTAGCTATAAGTCTGTAATATATAATCAAATCAAAGTCGAGTAATTTAAATACTTTTAAGAAATTTAATTTTAAATAATTTTGTACTTCTGTAATTTTATTGTATTTTGAACCGTTCGACTGGTATAAATAATAAAACGAAAGAATACCATTAAGTCGGATTTTATGAGCTTTTGCATATTTTTTACTTACAATTTTAATTATCTCAGTAATAAACCATGTAATAATGTAAAAAGTGGCATTTTTGAAATCCTCATATAATTTCCTACTCAATATTTATTGTTTAATATTTTTTGATTGAAAAAGTAAAAAGTTATAGCACAATATAAAGATTTTTCCGTAAAAGATGACAAAACTACTCAACTTCAAGTGCCCGGGGGCACGGCTTAAAATTGAATGATTGATTTCAAATTTTGCAGGTATTATTTTTTTATATATTTAAAAAAAAATGGGATGGTGCCGCAAAAAAAATTTAAACATCTATTTTTAAGGGCCACCCTAATGTACATCTGTTATTTTGATTAGAGACCTACTTTTATGATTTGGTTTATCTAACTCATATGTTTGTTTTATGTCGTCAAATGAGATTATATTGTCACCTTTTAAGTAACAAGCTTCAATTAAATTATTTCTTATACTTTTAAGTAAATGAAGGACGTCAAAAAAAGAAAATATTTTATTTTTATTGATAAAAAAAAAATGGACTATCTTCTAAAACATTTAATAATTTTAAAGTGCTTTGATTAGTTGTACTTTGATCGCACACAATCATTTTTGGACACATTCCAACTTCGAATAATTTCTTAAGATTATTAATTACTTAACTTTTTAAAACAGTTTTGTTAACTCCAGAATAAGCAAGAAAATATGCAATTGGAAAGTTCCATAGTGAATAAATAATACGAGCCATAAATACTAAGACGAAATTGGCACTTTTATTGGTCCTGCAATAATGACCTAGGTCTTCAAATCCTTCAACGAAATCAAATTCTTTGGAATATTCTAAAAATTCTTTTATATACATCTCATCAAAACTAACGGTGCATGATTTTTCTTTATAATCAACCAATTAAATTTTTTTTTTTAGATGCCTAAAAAATAATTTACTGATACCCAGTAAGAATATTGATTGATCAATCAAACGACAGATAGTTGATGGCTCTGGTAAATTAATTTTTTAAGAACGTAAAAATGTCTATGCTGTTGGCCATTTATAATATAAGTTTAAATTTAGATTTTTTTCATTTAATATCCACGGACGATGTCTATCTTTTAGTTGCATTGTCACCATTGCCTTAGAATTTATTGTTGAAAAGTTATGCATATTTATTGAATTTTTTAAATTATTACAAATGTTAAAATTACTTTTTTTATATTTTAATTTTGAAATGTGTGTTATTTTATTATGAATTATTTTGTTTTAAATTTAATTTTCTAGGTGTATCTATATCGATGGAATCATATTTCCTTTTTAAATTTGGAGTAGGCATTTGGATTAAATTTGTTATTTGATATTTTTGTGGAGTAGAAATCAATGAAGAAGAGCTCGGGAAAACTAATTCAACCATGTCTGATTTTGAACGTATATACGATTTAGTAGGAGTATACACGGTAATATATTCCTGTTCAGATTTATTAATTTGGTCAAAGCTAGATGAAGTAGATGGTTATTCTTTAGATTGATATTTATATGGAATAGCCAGAGATTATTAATCGATTTTTATTTAACAAATTTGTAAAGCTCTCAGGTGGGTAATGTTCTTAACAAATGTACCTATTGTAGAGTTTTTCGTGTTCAATATCAAACAAAAGTGTGTTTCCTGCAAGTATAAATCAAATATTTTTGTTTGAAAATAATCACACAGATTATTGAAACATAATGGTGGGTGGTGGCATGTTCCCATAAGTAATAAAATATATTTTTGAAAAAATTTGAAAGAAAAATCTAAATAAAATATTATTAAATAAATAAATGTTAATTTACAGTCTGTTAATACTAGAAAAGGGTGTTTTAAACTTATTGTGTAGTGTGTTATATAAAAAGTACTTACCCAAATTCATAATCCAAATTTCTCTCCTAGAGTCTTTCGGAAAACTATACATTTTCAAATGTGGAAATAGTTTTCTAGATTTAACACAGTTGAAATATTGACATTTGCTACCTGCCATTTTAATTTGTGAGTTTGTCAATAACACACAAAGTTACAAATGATATAAATGTAAAACACACGATGTATAAAATATTGAAAATCAGACAACAATATAATATTAATCAACAGTATCGTGATTCCGTCGATAATAATATAAGCAATATAAACAATAATATCTCGATTTCCCATTTCGTTTGAACAAGTGTTCTATTATTAGATCAACAGCGACCTCTGCACCTCTCATCAATCTATGATAGAGGTAGCACCTTTGCGTTATAATCTACACTAGCGCTTCATAACAGTCGCGTCACAAAAATGGTAGTCAATTATTATTGCATGAGCTATCCATCTATTCTATTTATTAATGGCACAACGGATTTGACAAGAAACAAAAATATTTGACTATTATCAATCGAACCATCTTGTTTCCTAATTTTAAATACTTATCGAATTATAATCATATCTAATTGACATCCACTCCTCGGAGAAACCGCATGTAAGCCTACTATAATATAGAATATATTGAATTTACTAGCTAAATTACTATAGCATAAACTAAAATGAAAACCGGACGTCTGTTTAAACTTTAACGCATGCATTTCGAACGTATCACAAAACATACGCTCACGCAAGTAGATTGTAGACCAACGTCGCTCATTTTTTTGGCACTTTAATAGAAATAAGTGAAAAATAGGTGAAGATTGATAGATTATTAAATTTATATTACGTTAACTAAAGTGTAATTTAGTTCAAAATGTTTACGCTATGATTTTGGTTCCTGTTTGTATCTTTAAGTACATACACATGAATGCATAAGTTTTGCTACATTGTGAAAGAAAAGTTAAACTGAGTATTATGGTTTGTAAAATATGAATTGTGATAATGTTGTTGATGATATATTGTAACGCTCTCTGTCGAGGACGACCGATGCACCATGATGGTCGGATAGCCTCCGGTAGGTCGCAGGGCGGTCATCGTCATCGATGGCGACGTTCTATTTGCCTATGATACACGGGTTCGGTTCCGGGGGTGGAACAAAGTGTTATGATTGTCTTAGCGTTATGTTATTTTATTTTATTGTGTTGATATTCATTTTAAGATTGCGTATTCTGATATCATGTGGACAGTATAAGAAAATTGTATAGGTCATTTAATGTTAGTTAATATTATTTGTAAACATCAATAGTCATTTGTAATTATTAGGGAACGGATTTATATGTAATAAAAATACATAAATATGTACATATGTATGTAAGTATAATTTATAAAATATGTACTAAAACCATCCAAATATGTAGGAAAAAAATTAAAAAAAAAAAAAAATATATAATTATTAAATTATCAAAATGATTTGTTGCATTGAATTATTACAATATATTTTAAATTATCAAATACTAAATGTCGCCTATTAGATCTGAAAATATTTTTAAAACGGCTAAATGATCGTTCCACATCAACCTACATCGGTTGATTTAAGCATATTTGAAGGGCATATTATTAGAAGGCGATAATTCCAAATTTTTAGAAGGGTGTCTGCCACTAATTATGTCATTAATTGATTTAAAATCAATATGACCTGAAATTTTTTTCTGTAAAAACATGAATTTTCTTTTTTACTACTTATCCTATTGGTCCGTTTACGAGTTTTCATTTTGCAATCGTTGATTCGACAATTCGCATACTTTCATTAAAGGACATATTTTTGTTTTTAATTTTATAATTGTATGTGCAATAAAACTAAAATTCACTGAGATGAAAATTAAATTTGTTTTCAATGTTTCATTTTGCATAATATTTTGAGCTTTTCTAATAGCGATAAAAGTTCTGGATCTAAATTTGAAATAATTTTTTATATTTTTGTATGAAGAAGACGTATGAATGATGAAATAATAAAATATGTTTAAAAATATTTACAAATTAGTGAAATATGTAAAAATATGTAATTATACCAAAATATGTAAAACTATGTAAAATAAAAGTAGCATCATATTAATAGGAATGATTTAAATTATGAACATTTCTTATCAAATTTTAAATATCTTGTTTTAATAAAAATATGTATTTACATATAAATCCGTTCCCTAGTAATTATCAATAATTCTACAAAAAATGAAATTTTGAATTATTCTTCTAAGAGTCTAACCAAAAATTTAACTTCTTTGGATCACACTAATCTTTAAAAAAAAAAAAAAAAATTTAAATACAATACTCCTTTACTGAATATTGTTCTAATAGAACGTAAGTATATATAGTGTGGGGAGTGTAGTCATGAATAAGAAACGAAAAAAAATGATTGAACATTCTGAAAAAGTAAGTTCGACCCATCATTAATTATTATTAATACGGACGTATTAATCTAATGTGTTATCATTGATTATAAATAGTATTATTTATAATCAATGGTATTATTATTATATATGAACACACCAATATCAGCGCTAACACGCTATTGTTAAATAATTTTTCATAGTTCATTATTTCAGTATTCGTTATGGAAATCGTCGACAATTTCTTTTACATAGCCGCTTTTTTTTAAATAAAAAAAAGTTGTTTCTATTGGAAATTAGTTTCTTAATAATGAGTTTAATTAGTTCATGATGAAGATTTTTTTTTCGTTCCGTTTTGACCAGAAAAATATATGGTCACTTTAGTTATAAGATACGTCACAATTAACTATTAACATACTATTAAACGTCGACTATTGGTCGTTTTGAATGCGCGCGTGTATTTGCACAGATTGAATTGTCCAAAGTGCGAATGACTGGGAAAGCGATCAGGAAAGCGTTCGACCAGAACATTGTACTGGTCGACCCAGAAATGGATATTCTAAGCGAGATGTGCGAGTTCATGGACATCAATGAGTGTCCGCTGGTCCTCACAGTCGGTCATTTACCAGAGTAATGGAAAATTATCTTGGAATGCGGACCGCACAGTACTTCGATCAACGGTTCCGTAAATTCGGTATGTGTCTCGAGTATTTATCTTAATCGTAAACATGTTACGGTTTTAAGTTTTACAATAATTCAATCGCATTCACTTGTAGACGTGCATGCGGCAGAGCAAAATGCTACTGTTGCACGAATTGAACGTATTCGTTACCGACAAAAACTTCGTCAACGGCGAAGACATGAACTCGGACATGAACACTTCCCTAACCGTAATCGCCAATGAGGTTAGTCGAAAGGATGTGATTTTTATTGAATGTTTGATTGCGATACTCGAGTGTTATAAATATATATACAATGTATATTAAACATACTATACAGGACGACGACTCACAGGAAGATAAGCTGTGGAAGCTGAACGACTATGAAAAACCTCTCGGAAACGGGTCCAACGAGTCGGTATTGGCGTCGGACCTCCGGGAGTTTCTACGGTATAATCGAATGGAACTTCTAATCAACGATATGACCCGCCGAGTCGTAATGAGACAAACGTTCCGGCCGTAGAGCCAGTTACTCGACCTCAGGAAACCGCTAACCGTACACCAGTTTCCACGGAGTTACCCGAGACTAGGTCCAACGAGCATCTAAAGACATCTAGCAATATCCTTGAACCGCACGAGGTAATTAGAAACCGTAACGAGCAGTGGCGTGATACATCGTATGATAATATTACTGAATTAAAAATAAATGTGGTTTTTGCTGAGCAAATGCGAAAATACTATATTAAATCATTACGCAATCACGAGCGTACAGTAGTAGAAATCAAGTCACGTCGCGGTGATTGTAAAACGATACAGCGCTTTTTATTGTACTCGCAATTATGTGTCGGAAGTAATACTTGGAAAACGACTTTTTTGCTTTGGTTACAGGAATACGTCAGCAGAGCTTCCGAGATTTTAAAACAATGTGACGTGGGACACGTTTCAAGAGAACGCCATACTGTTTTTCGATTTACTCGTGCAAACGAATCGCGCGAACCAACTTCACTTGAAGATGATTACCGATTGCTTTAGTGTTAAATGTACAGTAGCATCGGGAACATGTTAACCGTCTATTTACGTTTAAATTATATAATACTACCGCTCCTTTTGCAGGCGATTGACAAGCCCGACAAATGTGCCTTATACGCGACACTGTGTTGCGACGCGATCGAAAAAGCTTATGCGGACTGGAGAAGAACCGTACGTCAAGGGTTGTGGAGCGCGTTCAAAATTGAGTTGATACAATCTTGCAGAAACGTGTTGACTGAAGGAATATTGCCTCGGGTGGAAACGTCTCGACAACCCCAGGACCTTGGGCGATCGGAACAGATGTTCGATATAAAAGCTCGTGACCGTACGCAAGTAACGTGCAGGTAAACACTACCGGGTCGGAAGCTTGTATATTAAGCAACGGATTTTAATATTCATTCTAAAAATTATGAAAAATTCTTTAAAAAAAATAAAATACGATTAATTGGCATCGTGACGATTGGAACGCAAATAAAAAATGTGATAATTAAGATAAATGTTAACTAACTGTTATCAAACTAATACATTCTCGAAACAAATATAGAAAAAGGCCTAAAAAAAAAAATTCACTAAAATTCAAACTAAATATTTTAGTTTTTTAATTCATCGGTGTATGTAACGAACCTTGTGACGTTAGAAAAAAAATTCCATTTTCATTGAAGTCCGTCCCTGCTATTATAGCGATACATGGATATTTTCTAATCGCTGTACGCAACGTGTTCGCAGGCTTTTGGGTGAGCTGTTCATACGAGGCCAAATGTTCAAAATCGTATTGAATATTGCCGATACATTCATGGAGATACACGACGCGCATTCGTTGGAGTGTCTCTGCGTTTTGTTGATCATAATCGAACCTAAGCTCGAAAAAGTAATATGAACAGTGGCGGACGCAGGGAGGGGTTTTGGAGGTTCAACCCCTCCCGAAATGAATGGATGATTAATTTCAAATGTAGTTATCCTACCTTATGTACATTAAAAAAAATTAATTGTTCAAAATACGATTAAAATATGTTAGAAAAAAAATGTTTCGTTAAGAAAAGTGAATTTGTAATAATTTGTAATTTTCCAAACGCTCTAAAAGGTATTGGTACTTAAAACTCAAATTTTTGAAATTCCATGATGGCAATACTTCGTAAAAATAATGCGTGTTTGTAAGTCACTTATTATTAGTAAATAAAAATAAGTAAATATACGTAATCGATATAATATTATTTACAACGGTACATTGACGGTTTCCCTAAATTTTGTATTGTATGGTCATGTGAAAACGATCGACAATAGTCAATAGTCAATTATTTCAAAATAACGGTAATCAGGCCCGTATTTAGAGGGGGCACGGGTAGGCACATGTCCAGGGGGTCGACAAATCTCAGGGGCGGCAAAATGTTACAGCGAAATTAATTTTAAAAATTGTGTACCTAATGAAAAAAAAATAAAACAATAAAAAAAAGAAAATAGTACGTTTTATTATGTTATAATTTGTTTAATTTGTTAGTTGAAAAAAGTATTTTATTAACGATTTTAATTTATAAGTTATATTTTAATATTAAAGCATCTCGGTTAATGACAAAATAATAAGTGTTATATTGTTATTATTTTTTTTTTATTGGGGGGGTGGCATAAATAATATGCCCGGGGGCGCCAAATTTTTAAATACGGGCCTGACGGTAATTATTCTTATTTTTTCAAAACCCCTCCCGAAATTTTTTTCTGCGTCCGCCCCTGAATATGAACTATAACATACGCCATTGAATGGATCTCTGTACCTGCACAATACTGCGACCGGTTGTTTCCGGCGAATCCTACCGTTTTATGCTAAACGGGTGTAAGTTGTTTTTGTATAAATCATCGATGCCCTAAAACTATACAAATAACTGGAGAGCTATTCGATAGCCGGGTACGCTGGAAACACTCTGCCTAAGCGAACAGTGTACATGATCGACATTGTTCTGAACGTGCAGATGAGTTACATGAATGGTTCGAATTCGCGGCGAGGCGATTTCGCTGAAAGAAAGACCAGGAAGGCCGGCAACCGCGGTCGAAAGATCGCCTTGTGAATCGCTTCTCCCGCTAGATTTTGCGATGCTGCACAGCACCACGGGAAACACGTTACTTTCAACTCCGTGACGTCTATACTCTATTATCGTGACCATTAATAGTGAAGTATATACACTAGGGTGGTCCTTAGTTATAGAAGAATTTTTTTTAAATATTCTTCGGCCAGGTACCCGCCATTTTGTTCATTATAATCAGTAAATAATTGGGACTAAATTTAGTTATGATAACTCACCCCTTCCCGTACCTCAAGAGGGTTGAAAATTTGTCATTGAGGGTAGTTTTGTAGTTTTATGAATTTAACTTAAAAACTATAGTACTTAGCGAAAAAATGTATAGAAGGTTAATTATAAATTTTAATGTTGCTCACAAAATATATATTTAAAAAAATTGTAGGAGGTCTATAATTTATTAAAAAAAATAGTAAAATACGAAATATTTTATTTATTATTTATTTATATATATTTATATATTTTTTCGTATTTTTAATATTTTATCAAAGACACTTGAGCAAATATAAAAAAATCTAAGGAGTGAGTTATCATGACCAAATTTAGTCTCAACTACTTACTGATTATATTGAACAAAATGACGGATACCTGGCTCGACATTTTGAAATTTAAAAAATAAGGACCACCCTGATATACACCCCTATCCTTCCTCACCGTCTTATGGATAAGTATAATGTGCAACTCCAAATAATTAATACTTTTGTTGTTAATTATTTGTATTTACCTATATTTTAAAATGGTTTCAGATTAAAATTGATACCAATAATGTAACTATTTAAACTTTGTCATTATTGGAAAAAAATGACTTACTCAAAAACATATTCTGTAATTTAAAATTTTACAAAGATTTAAAAACCAACTAACTAAATTCTTAAACTTCCATTAGCCCCTCCCTTGGTTAGTGATAAACCCGCTCCTGGCGTATACCGGACCGTCTCCTACTGAAAAATCCACCGAACTGGGCTGCGGTCACCAGCTTATCGACAGGCGTTGATGGTCATCAAAAGTAACGTGGAACGTGAGAGACAAGCTCGGTAGGAAACAGCTCCCAAAGAAAGAAATGAGAAGAAGAATGATGTGGAGGCAGGTCGTTCGATCTAGTGCTTTTCAATATTTTTTTTATCATGAGGCTCCTTAAGTTAAACGTGTAATTCTCGATGCCACCTTAATTAAAATCATTAATTTTGAATTAATGAATTAATCATTCAAATCGCATGCACATGGATTAATTATTGATATGTATAGTAGATTAATGTCTTTTAATACATTTTTGAAAAGATTAACAGTTTTAAATTTTAAACAAATACAAATAAATGAAGATCTAGAGAAAATAGTTTAAATAATATGCATAATTCATGGCCCTCCGGTTTTATAGCCACAGTTTCCAGCCGTTCATTGAAAATCACCGGTCTAACTTTGTAATATGGTTAATGGTTCAGAAAAATTAACCTAAAAATAAATAGTTACAAGTAAAACTAAGAACTTAAACTATCAAAAAATGTATTTAGGCACTGACATTGGTATTTTAGCTAATCTTACAATGGGTGGTGACAGATTAAATGATATAATGGTTGACAACTTAGAATCATATACTGCACGCCATTTAGATATAGATGAAGCAATAAATAAGTTTGCAAGCATAAAAATGCATCGGTATCCTCCTAAATATTGACAAAAAATATAAATAATAAAATATACATAATAAACACTATTATACAATATTTATTATCACCTCTCGCTTTATTGCTTTTTTTAGTTATATGATTTCGTAAATACCATTATTATATTCTATTAATATATGGTAAAAATATCAACATTTTTTTAGTAACATTACTTTTGGAGTTATGACTACATAACTA